AATTATAATCGATCCCTGCTGCTTCTAAAACCATTGTGCGATATGGATTTGGTGATGTACTTTGGACAATAGTTTCATTTTCTATGCCCACGGAAGACTGTGGACTAACGACTTCTACGTACGGCTCCCCATGTGATACCCATTGATAATAGTCAGGAACAAAACCATATTTATATAGGTGAGTCTTTACATCCTCAATTTCTAGAAATTTCAGATTACCACACCTTGAACACGGGCACCGTATATTGCCGTTAGATACAAAATTGTCTTGCAATAGTGCAAAAGTTATAAACTCTTCAACGCCTCTAATAAACTCTTCCATCAATCCTTTTCGACTTTGTACAAGTCTATTGTACATCCAAATACGATCAGCTCTTAATGAACTCATGCTAGCTAGATCAAAAATCTGAAGTAAATTAATTTTAAAAAAATAGGACATATATAGTTATCCATATATATTGAACGTATTATTAGTATAACACATAAACAAATAATGATCATTTGTTAATTTAATTGCATAGTAGTAACAAAATTTAGTTTGTTAATAAAACAGAGCACCAATATAGGTAAGCAATAGCAATACAAGAATTATGAAATCCTACACTACATACAATTATGTTAATAAAATTGACTGAGATTCTTCATAAAATTAACTGAGATTCTTCAAAAAAATAATCGAAGGGGAATAACTATACTAAATCACTTACAGATTATGGATTACTCAAAACATGAAAAGTTTACTAGTTCCGACTTCCAAGCACAGAGTCTATGATGATTATCAAATCAAATATAAATTGGAAATAATTGACCAAAAAAAATAGAGAAGGCGATAAAATATTCAATCACGGGTTTTTTACTGAACAAACTCCCAAAAATCAATAGCATAATATTGTGTTCCATGGAGGAAGAGAGAAAACGAAATTTTGCAATTACCTGGTGGCCGAACTGGTGAGATGACGAAGAGAGGTATCAAACCTAGATAACGCGGACTTGTACCCGAACTGGTGATGAACTCCTCGTCTCTTTTCTTTATGCGTCTCTCTGAATTCTCTGAACTGATACAATTGTATTAGGGTAGGTCTTTTTCTTTAGTTGGCATTAAAACTCCAAATTGCCTTTCTTACGGCCAATGAAATCTTCACAATTTTTTTAACTTATTCAACTAATTACTTAATTATGCTTTAAGAATAAAAAAAGAATAATAGAAACGTATTAATCCATTAATAAGGATTCAATAACCAAAATATTATTTTGTAACATAATTTAAACTCAATTTATAATTTAAATCTCTATTACTTTTAACAAAAAATAATCTAAAATAATTACCAATATATATATATATATATATATATATATATCTCAAAATTTAATGATGATTATGAAAACTTAAATTAAAAAGTAGTATCCATAATTCAATTGAAGTGGGAAACAAAGTGATTGCAAATTTCGTTTTTTTTTTCACCAATAATGGGTTCATTTTTTCGTATTCTGTCATCTGTTTATTTTAGAATCGGGAGTTACCACTCGTACTTAAATATTTTCCCTAAGTATATATTTCAGTCACAGCTCTATTTTCCGTGACTATACTTGTCGCTAACTTTTAATATTAGAAATAGATTTATTGGTCGTCGCAAAGGTCAGTCGCTAAATATTTATTATGGCAACGAGTATATTGTCCATCGCTATATATGTTGATAAATATTTATTTTAGAAATAAAATTATTATCCGTTGTAACATTCCATCGCTAACAATTTATGTTTGCAACGACTATTATGAGCGTCGCTAAGGTTGTTTCTAACTTCTTATTATAGAAATGGATTTCTTATTCGTTACTAATTGACGTCACTATAATTGAAATCTAAAAGCCGAGGAGACAAATTTAATATATGTCGCTAATGTCATCGCTAAATGCTTATTATAGCAACGCATCGGGTATACGTCGTTAATTTCCGTTGCTAAACAGCGGATTTCTAGTAGTGATAGGTATACGCAAAAAAAATTCCCATATATTACAATAATATCCTTTATAGACTTAAGCATTAAGATATCTTCACTATGTGGACCAAGTCAACCTACGTGTAATTTTGTAAGTAATGGTTAGCCAATGTTTACAGATGGCACCATGCATGTACATGAGAATTCTATATATAGCACATAGTTGTAATACAAAAGAGATACTTGATTGAATAGATTGAAAAGCTTCTGTATTCAAAAATCTTTTCTGTTACAATTATATACACTGAGTTATATGATATAATAGATGGTTTATTCTATAACACCATAAACATTTATTCCGTTATGGTTCCACAGTAATCACATTTTATTACGCGTAGAAAAGTTTGACTAAACTACCTCGTTGGCAAAATGGGGAGTGGAGTATGTCTTTAGTTTGACTTTTGGTGTGATGGACTCGTCAAATTACACCATTTTTTAAATTGATATGTCCACCCTTTTTTTTTATGGGTTAAATAGATATGTTCAAATAGATATATTCAGATTTTATTTTTTACCTAATTTAAAATAGCTTGCTCTAATTCGAATTCATGTAATCGCATCTTTTACGTACAATCATTCGATAAATTGCCAATTTTTTTGCAGAACCCCAACAAGATTAACAAAAATCATACACACTAGCATATTTTTCATAAATCTGGAACCATGCTCTTCCTAAAACGAAGAAATTGAATCGCACACCTGATTGAGAGAGCGGTTACGGCTTAGAAAGTGAGCAGCATAAATGTTTATATATGGCTACTCTGGTTAAATAGGAGCAATTATTCTTTTTTTTACTCTTTTTTAGTAATATTACTGTGTTAAAATTAATAATAATGTCTCAGATAATAATATTATTGTTCTAATATTAATATTATTGTATCAGCCTGCAATATTATGTCACAACCTGCAAAGTTGTTGTCTGAGTGAAATATTATTGTCTCAGACAATAATTTTACTATATAAAACAGTAATATTATTATCTTACTGCAACATTATTACTGTCTTAGACAGTAACTTTACTTAATATTGTATATGTCACCATTCTTCTAGAAAAAATATACGTCAGCATTTACATTTGGCCCATTAACAAAATAGAATAGCTCTGCTACAATGTGGCCCGAACAATACCCACATTTAATTTGGCCCATTAACAAAACATGTCCAAAATCAAGCCTTGGCCGAATCGAGTCACGTGTAATTTTCTTTGATTAATTCTTACATGAATAAATTAAATAAAAATTCAAAAAAAAAAATTAATATAGACATGTGCTTCGTACTTTGTAGTTTTCAATTCAATTTCATCTATGAATTCAACATTTTAATTACAAATTTAATCTGGCATTTAATTAAGATTATTTGTGACTGATAAAAATGCTAGTTGCTACAGAATAATTAATTCCACTAGACACCAAATACAAATTACCTGCAGAATTTAATATTATTTCATCCCAATATCTACAAGGCATATTCCAATACACCGATGACAAAAACCATTATTTAATTGATTAATTTCAATTTGGCGCATGTGATCAAATACAAATGACCTGCAGAATTTAATACTATTTCATCCCAATGCCTATAAGGCATATTCCAATACATCAATGACAAAAACCATTATTTAATTGATTAATTTCAATTTGGCACATGTGATGTGGTTTTTATATTACTCCCACAATAACGGTCTTTTTTATTCTATATCATCTGTCACTTTAGATTTCTAATACTGCATTAAATACATTTTTCCTATTTTAACCTTATTAATGAAACTATATTCATTAATTTTCTCTTATAAATCATTAAATATTAAAGGTTGTTTTAGTCATTTTTATATGATTTTTCTAAAATCAAGATATATTTATTGAGTTTCTTAATTTTTATGAAAAATGAAAAGTGACAATTATTTAAGAACTGAGGGAGTAATAGTTTAATACAATTGGAACAAGAGGATATATATCCTAGAAACAACAATTGAAGCTACCGGGAAAACGCAGTTAATTAGTATAATTAAAGTGGGTGGGACGCAGCTGAAGATGAGACTTAATATATAATATAATGAGAGAGGGGAGCCTTAGAAGAAGAAGAAGAAGGAGGAGGAGGACTACTGTTAAAAGTTGACCTGCAGATCGATAAAATCACCGGCGGCGACTCCCATCTGATCGAAACCTCATTTCATTTTGCATTTCTGAATCCACGCAGGTTAGTTCTCGGCACAACTATAATCAGTATATTGAATCTGACATATATATATTTCCGGTTTAATTTGCGATAATCATACTATATATTTATATACATTTCTTGTCTGTCTTTCTGCTTTCATTGCTTGAAAAAAATGTCTCAATTTTCATTCAGCATATATATATATATATATATATATATATATATATATATATTGTTGTTACCTGCATATGTGTAAGAGAGTTTGGGTGTTTTATGCTAAAGATAGTAAAAATTTGTGTTAGAGATTTAACTAGTTATTCATAGTTGAACTAATAATTTGATAGGTGCTTACCGAGTCCTCACATGAAGAAATTATTATATAAGCGATGTTATTAATTTATTTACTTTCTACTGTATAATAGAAATATTGCGCTCATATATATCAAGATTCAAGACTTGTCACATACTCATGGTAAACAAATTAAAGATCAACTTAATTATATGTCTTTATTTGGAACTGAAAATATGAAGTTGCATTTTAGTATTGAAACATTTGAAACGAATGGATTTGAAATGAGTCCAAATGTGAGGGTTAGATGCTACACCCCCTTATTTGCATTCGATGAATTTGAATCGTAAATTTAATAAAAAAATTACCAACTAAACACACATAGGTACACACGTGTCTGATTATGTCAAATTTCCAGCATCCAAATGGAACTAAAATAATTTTTACACTAAAGTGGATAAAAGTAATTACATCATTTCTAGTTTCAAATTAAATAACAGGCTCGTGATTGGCTATCTGATGATATACAGTCCGGCCTTGTTTATTCTAGAAATTAATTTATAAATTATATTTCCAGAAACCAACCAATCCAATTAAATCAGAGACAGTTTTCCCAATCCAATCCAGCACCCACGAAACGACGCCGATTAGGAAGCAGAAACCCCAAAGCTGAAAAGTCAACCCCGGAGTGCCCCCGATAACATGCTCCGCCGCCGCAAACACTATCTGACTCATCAAGAACCCAACCAAACCCACCCAAAACCAAACATTCTTCTTCTCAAATAAACCACTCATGAAATTCTTCCTTTCGATCTCTCTAGCTACGAATTTGTTGAACATCTGGCACAGGAACAACCCGTTGTATATCACCGATTTGACTCGCCCCCCACTCGTTCCCAGCATATCCTTCCCTCTGTGCTGAAGCCCCACGAACACGGCCGTCTGGTACGAAGCTTGAATGGCTATGTTCCGCCACATTGCCTTCGTCATCAGCTTTCCCGACGATGACGTCACCGCCGCCGGCGACGGCCCAGTCAGCATTAGCACCAGTCCCGCGAGTGCGACGACCAGATTCAGCCAGAGAAGCTGGGCGGCTGTTATGGAGGAATCTCCGAGGAACACGATTGCAGTGAAGTTGATCAGCGTGCTTGAGATTGTGACGATAAGCTGGAGCTGGATGGATTTTCTGATGTTTTCTTGAAAATGGATCCCGCCTACGACGACGTTTAGCAGAAAGGTGAAGGGGTTACTACCAATATCCCAGATGGTGATGTCGGAGCACTCTCTTGCCAATTCGGAGCTCCAAGATCCGAAAGCGATGCCCACGTCAGCTTTTCTCAGTGCAGGCGCGTCGGTCGTTCGCTGTGCTAGAAGCGCCACCGCATGCCCTTTCTTTTGCAACAACTCGATGAGAAGGATCTTGTCGGATGGGAGACAGTTTCCCATAACACAAATCTTGTCTACCTTCTCCATTTTCTGTTCATCGCTCCATTTCCGGAATTCTTCGGCTGTAATACTAACCGATAAATCTTCGCCGGCCGATTCGGGAGTAGTTAACAGCAGCCCGCAGTTTCGGGCAATGGTTTCGAGTACGGCAACATCATCTCTCGTGGCAAGAACTGTCCTAATTCCACGTTCGGCCTTCAAGCGTGTGATAGCTCGTTTCGTATCGTCGGTTCTCGTTTCTCTCTGTCTAATCATTCCTAAGAAGATCAAGTCTTTCGATTCAACTGGTGCTGAGCACTCATGATCGAAATCCATCGTCACATATTTATAAGCAAATGCAATCGCTTGATCCGCTTCTTGATCAGATTGCATTTGTTGAATGGCTTGTTCGAGGGTTCTCCGTCTCGGTTCGTCTATTTCCTGTATTCTCCCGTCAGCATCGTACTGGTGTGAACACAACGACAGTATATATCCCGGTGGTCCTTTACAATGCAGGGTTCTCCCTTTACTACTTTTCTCCATTATTACTACTTGGCAAAGTTGTTGCAAGGGATCAATGTTCACACTGCAATAGCTTATCAGTGTGCATTGTTCAATCACAGATTCTCTCTTCATGCCCAATTTCGCCTCGGCCCACGAGACCATCTGCCCTAATTCCGACCCGCAATAATCGTCTTCGTGCGTCAGAAAAACCGTACCGATTCCATCACATAAACCATCGAGAACATTGGATGCTACAACCGAGCTTTCACACACAAATCCTTCACCAACATAAAACTTGTCGATTTCGACCTCTTTATAATCGTGCTCCGTCAGCCCTCCGAATTTGTCGGCGCAAATTACGGTAGTGACACTGGCCATCTTAATGCAAGCAAGGTAATCTCTCTCAGTGGCCTTGCGCGCTAGTGTTTTGCGGCTCCATATAATTGTTGCAATTGAGATGACAAGTGGCATACCTTCCATTACCCCCAACAACGAGACACTTAACAAAGTTGTCAAAACCCTAGCCGTCGACTTAGATCCCGTAACGAATCCTTTCATAGCTTCCACACTATAGTTTTCACAGAGACAGGCTCTCCCTTCGACTCCGGCCTGTATCTCCTTTCTTCATCCAACTTTCCGAATTTGTATCGAAGGAAAAGCACTATGATGAAGAGGATGGTTATACCAAGACCAACAAAATGAATACATGTATTCAATGTATGAATATAAGACTCGAATTTACACCTCTTGTCGTCCAACCCTAGCAGCTGGTTCTTCATTGTCTCACCCCACAAGTTGTCCATGCCTGTGGATGTGACCAGCATCCGAGCATCTCCGTTGATCACTCTACTGCCGTAAAACAAAAACGGGTTATCCTCATCGATTACCGAGCCGTTGTCGTCTAGCTCGAGCGCTGCTCGGCTATCTACGAAAATGCCATCGGCGAGAACAAGATCTCCCTTTCGGAGAACTGCTATGTCGCCGACTTCGAGGTCGATTTCCTTAATAGACTCAGCTTCCCCACCTCTAAGTACTTGCACCTTATTACAAATCTCAGGTAAAAAAATGTTCTCCAATTTTTTACGTGACCTCTCTTCCCAGCACTTGCGTACGGCTGTGCACGTGACAAGAATGAAGATTGTGAGAATTATGAGCGTGCCGTTGAGCCAGCCGATGCACAAGCCTTCCTCCTACTTGATTCCGAACCCTAGCGACAAAATCGCAGCGACGGAGAGGGGAAAGATGGTGTAGTTATTCCAAGCTGCTAGAAAAGAATGGAAGAAAGTGAGGAGAAGTTGGGATAGTTGGCTAGGGTTGCATTCGGTGCAGGTTTTGTTAGGGTTTGAAATTATTTTTCCTTTATCCAGATCTGTGTTCAATGCTTCTGCAACTCCTCTAACACCTCCAAAATCATTGAGTTCTTGCAGATTCCTCTTCTTCACAGTATCGGCGATGTTGTTAATCTGCAAAATCTGCTGGAGCTCGATGTTGACCGATTGTGGGGTCAAGATCTCCTCATGCAGAGTTGCCTCAGCTGCTGCTTCAATAGTCGAACCCTAATTTGCAAATGAATTACGTACAAGCATTAATTATTTCATCAAATAATTAATACAAGTATTATGATCAATTAGTACTAAATGTTTGATGATAGATATACCGGAATCTGATCATCGGCGGCGGCGGCGATGGGGATAGAAGCGTAACTGGCATCAGCTGCAGCTTCAATCGTCGAACCCTAATTTGCAAATGAATTACGTACAAGTATTAATTATTTCATCACATCAAATAATTAATACAAGTATTACGATCAATTAATGCTAAATGCTTGATGATAGATATACCGGAATATTAATGAGAATCTGATCATCGGCGGCCATGGGGATAGAAGCGTAACTGGCATCAGATGAGGTTGACGCGGGTGCAGAAGTAGTGCTGATCATATTGTCGTCGTCGTCGTCGTTGTTGTTAGCTCCGGCGCCGCCCAACTTGAAGAGTTGAGTGGAACGAACTAGCAAAATAACTGACCTGATTCTGGCGGTGGCTGTTTCCGGCGGCGGCACGGACGAGATTCCCAAAAGTGATTGCTGTGCTTCAACTTCGAAACTTGAAATCCCCACAGAATCCGACATTGTCAGTTAACTTGTTCGGAGACAGCGCTAAACTAATTATACACCGCCATCATGCACACGTTAGCCAAAAGAGAGAGAGAGAAATGGTACGTATGGACTCACTGAGTGTGAATAACTCCGTGAGCTTGTGTGAGTGACTCAGCGAGTTGACCTGTTTTTCTTTTTTTTCTTTTTTTTTTTCTTCCTTCTTTCAGGTTATTTTTATCTGCGACTACAAGTGAAATAAGTGAAGGGGGTTTTTATAGGCATTGGAAACTGTACTTGTATTAAATATACTGCCTTGAAGCTTCTCCTATTAAGTAACAGGTTTCGAAGAAGAAATCACGCGTTAATACGTAACACGAAAATTAAAACATATATGATAAGCTGCCCTACTTTTTTTGTTTTTTTTTTTGATGAGTAAGCAGCTGAAGTTGCCTTGAAACTTCCTGCTTTTCGTGAAGTCGGCCTCCGAAAGACCCTAATTATCTTTGTCAATTTAGAATTATGATCATTAATACATAATTACTTTTTAAGCCACCGAATATGCTTGAACTCAGTTGCCAAAAGTTTACCTATTATAATTGCCCTAAAAGAATTGTTAAGTATGAAATTTATTATATTGCCCTAAAAGTTTACTTATTATATCGCCCTAAAAGAATTGTTGAATATGAAATTTATTGCAATTGAGAAATATATTGTTTTTTTTTTCAATGAATCCCCACAGTAATCACACTTTCCTTACGCGTAAACAAGTTTGACTAAACTAGCTTCTTAGATGTCTTTTGCTCTACCCCAATGGATTACATTAAACACATTTAGATAATCTCATTCGGATAACAACGTTGGACTTGTATTGTAATTTTTAAAATCGTGTTGTGATTCTTATGGTTGTCAAAAGGGGGAACAAGAGTATGTGATGTGATCAGTTTGACATTTGGTTCGACTGATTGGCACAGTTACAGCAGTAAATGGCTGATATACCCTTTTAAACATTTGTTAAATACATCAATACTGATTTGGTCCGTGGGGCTTCCTTCTTCTCCAAGTCAGCTGGGCCCTTACTCCGGTGAGGATACCTGCAACGCCGGGAGGGGTTCCCGGCGGGAAAGCTCCGACGATCAAGTCAGCGATCGGAACAGAGGAAAAAACGTGTATGCAATGTAACAGTGATTAGTCTATATCCTTGTGTGTGCGTGTGTTGATTCTCTTATTTATAGATGAGGAAAGCTTGGCCTTCAAGGCTTTCCTTTTTTAGGGTTTCTCTTTTCCCCCAAGTCATGTATCTTGGGCCTGTATTGTCCTGGGCTCGCCCTGCCCTGTTTTGGTATTGGGCTGGCGAGTTAAGGTACTCCTTACGTGACTCCGAACTTCGCACCATACGGCGATTTCGCTCATAATGCCGAGCTAGGTCGTCATGGGTTCTTCGTTGTGGGCCTATCATATTGGGCTTAACCTAACGGGCTTACGCTTATTTGTTACTTGTCGAACTAGCCCGTATCAACTACTCCCCCCTACTCCTTAATTATCGGGCGAGAAGACTTTGTATTATCTCGTTTGATAAGTATGGAGTATGAGACGCGAGGTAATAGCTCGTTTTTAACTTTTACTTCTGATGGGGAAATGTGCCTTCCGCCTCTGGCCGCCCTATCAATCAATGCGGTCGATTCGAGTTCCCTAGGTCATGATGAAGGGATTTCAATCGGTGCTTTTTAGCGTCAAGTTCGAGGCGGCCAACTTTTGATCTCGTTCGTCCGAATGGGTGGTTGAGATTTAATTTCCCTTTACCTTTTTTCCTTATAAATACCCAGCTTGCCCAATTTGTAAAAATTTTTCCTTTTCCCCTACGCATTTTCTCTCTTATTTGCTTTCTGGTGATTTTCTTCTCTGAGACAGAGTTTTTCCCCTCCTCGAGCCTACTCCTTTCCCCGGTCAAGGTACTGCTTCTTTCCCCCATCTCTTATTACCTCTGCCTTTACTCTTCGAATTTGATAATGTCTGCCCGTTCTCCTGACCCTTTCGGCCAAAAAGTGCCCTCCGGGGAGGGGGGTGAGAACCCCGCTTTTTCTATCTCTTCCTCGTCGGAGGAGGGGCCTTATTTCTCCCCTTCGGGTAAACTCTTGGAACGACCCAAGAAGAAAGGCAAGAAAGAGGTTTCTTCTTCCGCGAGGAGTGGTTCGCCTTCATTATCCGAGGGGCGAGATCTGGACGACCAATGGGGGCCCAGTACCCTAACCGAAATAGATCTGGCTAACTTAGTTCGCGACATAGGCCTCCCTACCGATGTCGAGTTGATTCTACCTTCGCGAGATGACCGCCCTTTAAATCCCCCTCTAGGTTTTAGTACTTGGTTTTCAGAGCAGTTCTATTTCGGTCTGTCCTTTCCTATTTCGCCCTGGTTTTCTGAAATTGCCCAACTATGTAATGTGTCTCTTAACCAATTCCACCCTCATGCCATAATAATCATGACCGGATTCCGCATGCTATGCGCTTGGTCGGGGGTGATCCCTACACCAGCTCGCTTCCGAAGTGTCATGGTGTTGAAAAATTCTAGTCCCTTCCATATTTCCATCTCGGCTCGTCCGGGTTTCAAAATATTGATGCCACCCAACAAAACCGATGGGTGGCAAGGTCATTATTTTTTCGCAAAAAATCCCGTTGATACTCCCTACTTATGCCCTTGGCTTGCCACCTTGCCTGAGAAGAAAAGGGGAAAACCCTTGGCAGTTGATGAATGTTTGTTAAAAATGATATCTCACTTTCAACCGAGTTACGGCGTCCCGGATAGCCTCACCAGCTTTCCGCCGATGCTTCGCCACTTCTATTTTCACGACAACAGCACATATTCCTTAACTCGGGAAGATTTAGGTGGGTTTAATCGCGACACCTGTCCTTATTTCGGTCAACTGTTTTACTTTGGATAAATGTTTCTGTCATCTCGCTAATTCCATATTTACCTGTTCTACCCCTCATTTATTAATCCTGTTTTTCCCAATTTTGTGGATAGATTTAAGGATGAAGAGGATGTTCCGAGGTGATAAAACGGCTATTCGCCCGTCCGAGCCGGAGCCGGGATTTGACGCGTTCGAATTCCAGCGTCCTTTGGTCGCTGAATCAGAGAAACACTCTTCGGAGGAAGGGGCTCTAAGACCCAGGCCTCCCAAGAAGAATGCCGCGCCTCCTCGCGCTCGAGGTGGACCGCGTACTGAGGATTCTGAACCTCCCCGGCGGTCTTCTGCCATAGTTCTGGCCTCTTCGCCACCTCCTCTTTCGACCGAAGAAGTGGTGGAAAAAGAGCCCGCTCCGAAGAAGCGGAGAACTGACCTGGCCCTCGGGCCGGCTGGGTCGTCCTTGCCTGCTGGTTTTGGACTTCATCTCTGCCAAAACGCAGAGAATGCCATTGCTGCATGTCGGTCTCTGGCCTTTCCCACCGATGTTGCCCATTTCGGGCAAATGAGTAAGGGCGACCGACTTGAGCTACTTCTTCACAACATTACACAGGTTTGCCTTATCTCATTCATGCGGAGCCATTCCTTAATTTCGTATTTTTTATTCAAGTCTAACCTTGCTTGAATTTCTTATACATGCAGCAATTCGCCATCGCTTTCTCGGGTCCTTTGGGATGGGATGATGTCTCGCGTGAGGCATACGACAACCAAAAGAAGGAGGTGACTCAACTTCGAAAAGAAGTCCGAGGCCTGAAGGAGAGTTTAGCGATGTCGGAATCGTCGAAGGAAGGGCTGTTTGCCGAGGTGAAGAGGCTGCAGGAGAGGGAGAAAATCTTGCAGGCGGAGAAGGACTCCCTGGGTTCTCACGTCACCAGCCTAGAAGAAAAAGCCAAAGGGCTTTCCAACGAGCTGTACGCAGCCGGAGTGCAGGCTTCTACTAATTTCGCCGAAGGGGTGAAAGAAGGGCAAAGGTTGTTCCCGGGGTCGCCTGAGGGCCTCCGTTTTATTGAAGAGTTCGTTCGTCGTTTCTTTCACCGGTTGTGGCGTTCGACTACATTCACCCGAGAAGCTTCAGGGTTGGCTCGTTTCTTCTTCTCATCGGCGGTTGCAGCTGTTCGAAAGAGGTTAGGTGGTGCTGGCATCGAATTCCCACTGGTGGAAAATGAACTGGCCGAAGACCTTCCCGATGACGTGATCCCGGGTTTTGAGGGGGATGTTAATGAGGACCCCAACTTGGAATGGTGGAGGCCGGTTTACCAGGGCCTTGTTGAAGAATTTACCCGTCAAGGAGCCATTACGGACTTCGTCGGGGATATTGGGGCCCTTGGAACGGTGGTCAGTTCCGACGAGGCACAGCCAAGCCTCGTTTCGCCGCCCCCTCCAGATGCTGAGAATCGAAGTGAAGCAGATGCTGCAGTCCCGAAGTGAAGGCCATAAAGAAGACTTAACCATTTTTTCCGTTTTGTATTCTGAATATGTATTTCTTAAACGTTACGTTCTTTATTTCCTTTTGTTATGAATTCTTGACAATTCTTCCGTTTTTTATGTCAGCATATCGGAAATTCCCCCTTTTTTCTTTTTTCTCCAAGTTTAATTTGGGCTTTTATATTCGTCTTGTCTTGACCTCGAATTTAGTTCATATCTCCCGATGATTCTCATCGGTGATTATCCTTTAAGTTTATCAGTCAACTTGATCTTGGAAAACTGTCTTCATTTTCAATCGTTTACTTCGTGTTTTGAACTTAGCCTTCGGCTGTTATTTCTTTTGGCAAAACACGCGATTTAACGCCTCGGTAAAACACGCGAGTTAACGCCACAATAAAACACGCGAGTTAACGCCACAGTAAAGCACGCGAGTTAACGCCACAATAAAACACGCGAGTTAACGCCACAATGAAACACGCGAGTTAACGCCACAATAAAACACGCGAGTTAACGCCACAATAAAACACGCGAGTTAACGCCACAATAAAACACGCGAGTTAACGCCACAGTAAAGCACGCGAGTTAACGCCACAATGGAACGCGCGAGTTAACGCCACAATGAAACACGCGAGTTAACGCCACAATAAAACACGCGAGTAACGCCACAGTAAACACGCGAGTTAACGCCTCAGTTAAACCACGCGAGTTAACGCCACAATAAAACACGCGAGTTAACGCCACAATGAAACACGCGAGTTAACGCCACAATAAAACACGCGAGTTAACGCCACAATAAAACACGCGAGTTAACGCCACAGTAAAGCACGCGAGTTAACGCCACAATGGAACACGCGAGTTAACGCCACAATGGAACACGCGAGTTAACGCCACAATGAAACACGCGAGTTAACGCCACAATAAAACACGCGAGTTAACGCCACAGTTAAACCACGCGAGTTAACGCCACAATGGAACACGCGAGTTAACGCCAAAATGAAACACGCGAGTTAACGCCACAATAAAACACGCGAGTTAACGCCACAGTAAAACACGCGAGTTAACGCCTCAGTTAAACCACGCGAGTTAACGCCACAATAAAACACGCGAGTTAACGCCACAATGAAACACGCGAGTTAACGCCACAATGGAACACGCGAGTTAACGCCACAATGAAACACGCGAGTTAACGCCACAATAAAACACGCGAGTTAACGCCACAGTAAAACACGCGAGTTAACGCCTCAGTTAAACCACGCGAGTTAACGCCACAATGGAACACGCGAGTTAACGCCACAATGAAACACGCGAGTTAACGCCACAATAAAACACGCGAGTTAACGCCACAGTAAAACACGCGAGTTAACGCCTCAGTTAAACCACGCGAGTTAACGCCACAATAAAACACGCGAGTTAACGCTACAATGAAACACGCGAGTTAACGCCACAATGAAACACGCGAGTTAACGCCACAGTAAAACTTTAAATAAATAACACAAGGATTTTTTAACGTGGAAACCCTCCAAGTGAGGAGAGAAAAAACCACGGGGCCTAGCCCAGATCGGAAAATGGATGTTTATTAATGGTTGTTTGCCTGTACAAGGTGTGTCTTGATTTCGCTGACTTAATTGCCTCTATCTCCTTTCTCTCTTTCTCTTTTTTTTTTTTTTTTTTTTTTTTTTTTTTTTTTCACGCGAAGAAGCGTTTCAAATGGATGACATTCCATGCCCGTGGCAATGGTTTTCCTTCTGCATCTGCCAGCTCGTATCCTCCACCGGCCAAGCACTTTGTGACCACGTATGGTCCTTCCCAATTGGCTTCCAGCTTTCCTGTGTGTTTTAAGGCATCAGCTCGTCGTAGAACGAGATCACCAATTTGGAACGAGCGGGATTGGACCCCTTGGTCATATCGGGCTTTGATCAAGTTCTTGTTTCGTTCCATGTGCAAGTAGGCTGCTTCTCGTAAGTCAAAAATTTCATCCAGGTGGGTTCTCAATGCATCATCATTGGTTCCCTCATCGAATGTGGCTATACGGAGTGTATCCATTGCCACTTCTACTGGAATAACTGCTTCGGTGCCGTAGGTTAAACGAAATGGTGTTTCTCCGGTAGCTGCTTTGGCCGAAGTTCGGTAAGACCAAAGAACCGAAGGTAACTCGTCTACCCAACTGCCTCCCAGTTCGTCTATCCTCTTTTTTAAGCCATTGACAATGGTTCGATTTGTGGATTCGACCTGACCATTGGCCTGGGGGTGTGCTACTGCCACAAACTTCTGTGTGATCTTCATCTCTTCGCACCATGCACGGATCTTTTTGCCATTGAACTGAGTGCCATTATCCGACACGAGGCTGCGGGGTAGGCCAAACCGGCAACAGATATATTTCCAAATGAAATGCATGACTTCGTCCTCTGTTATTTTAGACAAAGCTTCAGCTTCGACCCACTTGGTGAAATAGTCCACCGCGACGATAAGGAATTTCTTTCTACCGGTGGTTTGAGGAAAAGGTCCTACCAGATCAATTCCCCATTGGGCAAAAGGGCATGGAGCGCTCATGATGGTCATTTCTTCTCCTGGTTTATGAATGAGTGGGGCAAATTTCTGACATTGTAAGCAATGTTGCACATATTGATGAGTGTCCCTCTTCATACCGGGCCAATAGTATCCGGCCCGATGTAATTTCTGTTTGAGGGCCCGAGCTCCTCCATGCTCTCCGCAACCACCTCGGTGTACTTCGTCCAGGACATGTTTCACCTCTTGCTTTCCTAGGCATCGCGCATCTACCGTGGTGAAGTTTCTCTTGTATAATATCTCGTGCCGCACATAAAAGTGTCTCGCTTTATATGCCAAACGATGTTGTTCCCTCTTCGTGCCAAAACGCTCTCCTCTGAAATATTTGAACAACGGTGTTCTCCAGTCAGATTCTTCATCGATCATCATGACTCCCTGCATCGGGGTAGGGGCAATGAGGATGGTGATTTTTCGTTCAACACAGTCAACGACTGACGACCCAATCTTAGCGAGGAAGTCGGCCCGTTGGTTGTCGCTCCTCGGAAGTTGATGCACCGTGCAGGCTTCGAAGGTTTCTTGTACTGCCCGAGCTTTATTCACATATCCTTTCATTCTATCGTTTTTTACTTCGTAATCGCCTTCTAGTTGGTGTATCACCAATTGTGAATCGGAGTATATTCGCACCACTCGCGCTCCGAGCTCCTGAGCAACCTCCATTCCTCGGATGAAAGCTTCGTATTCTGCTTCGTTATTAGAAACCCGGGGTAATTTGACAGCGAACTCGACCTCCGTTCCCGTAGGATCAATGACTATTATTCCTGCCCCTGCCCCTGTTGTTGTAGATGACCCGTCCACATAAATTTTCCACTCTTTCTCGATAGGTATTCTGGTAGTCTCCCGGATGAAATCTACCAGGGCCTGCCCTTTAACCGAGGTGCGGGGTTGATATTGAATCTCGTATTGTCCTAATTCGATGGCCCATTTAACAATTCGTCCTGACGCAGTAGGTTGACCTAGGGTTTGCCGAAGTGGTAGACTTGTACGGATTACCATGGTATGCGACAGGAAGTAAGGCCGGAGTCGTCGCGTAGTGAGGACCAGAGCATACGCTATTTTTTCGACTTCAGAATATTTGCTTTCCGACGTAGTCAGGATTTTACTAGTATAGTAGATCGGCTTTTGCTGGTTATTCACCTCTTTGAACAGGACCGAGCTAATTGATTCGTCGCCTACCGATAGGTATACGAACAGAGTTTCGCCCTTTTCAGGAGTGCTAAGAATCGGCAGACAAGTGAGGGATCGTTTTAATGCATCGAATGCGAGCTGGCACTCGTCAGTCCATTCGAATTGAGCTGTTTTCCTCAATATTTTAAAGAAAGGTAGACTCTTATCAGCCATCCGTGATATAAACCGAGCTAGGGCTACTACCTTCCCTGCTAAGGATTGAACTTCCTTGATGGAGCGAGGGGGTGTCATCTGGAGCACGGCCTCAACCTTGTCCTGGTTCACCTTAATGCCTTCTCGATTAACGACATATCCCAGGAATTTTCCAGCTTGTACTGCGAATGCACACTTCGCGGGGTTCAATTTCATTCCATATAGGCGAAGGGTGGCAAAGGTCTCAGCTAGATCTGCGAGGTGCGTAGAACGCCTTTTGCTTTTAACTAGCATGTCATCAACGTAGACTTCGATGTTGCGTCCGAGTTGAGCCCGAAACATTCTATCCATCAATCGCTGATACGTGGCCCCTGCATTTTTCAAACCGAAAGGCATTACCACGTAGCAGTAAGTACCCGTGGCCGTAACAAAACTTACTGCCGGCTGATCCTTTTCGTCCAGCGGAATCTGGTGGTATCCTTGCGAAGCATCCATCATGCTAAGTAGCTCGCACCCGGCAGTGGCATCTACAAGTTGATCTATGCGAGGTAAGGGATAATCGTCCTTCGGGCAGGCCTTGTTTAAGTCCCTGAAGTCGATGCACATTCGCCACTGGCCGCTGGCTTTCTGCACCAAAACTGCGTTGGATAACCATGTGGGGAATTGGATTTCCCTGATATGTCCGATGTCCAGAAGTCGCTGAACCTCCTTGTGTATGATTTCGTCCTTTTCGGTACCGAAGTGCCGTCGTTTTTGTTTGACGGGCCTACACTCGGGTCGCAAATTGAGCCTGTGCACCATAGTACGAGGTGAGATACCGGTTAGGTCACTTGGTTGCCATGCGAAGATGTCTTCATTAGATCGTAGTAACGCTATCAGTTCGTCTCGGAGAGGTGGTCCTAAATCCTTGCTTATCCGGGTTTGTTTCATCATACCGGGGACGAGGTCAATCATCATCAATTCGTCCATAGGTTGTACATGATTAATCTTATCTTCGGGGTCGACTCGGGGGCGTTTCTCGTCCCCCAAGTCTTCTTTGGTGAGAGTGTCACGTCGCCCTTTCTCCGCTATCTTAACCATCTCAACATAACATGATCTCGACTGGGCTTGATCTCCTTTGA